GAAGTGGAGCAGGCTGGGGTGTGTGAGTAGTGATAGTAACAGCAGATGCTTACTGCAGTGCAATGCAATGAGCAGGCTTTGCCCTTGCCTGAGGATCACGTGCTCAGGAGGACCAGCACAGCTCTAGACAGGCAGATCAGAGAGAGAGGCACAGATTGTCTGAGCAGAGAGGAGGAGACACTGCAGGGACAGGGGCTGCTGCTTGCTGCTGCTGCTGCTGCCACACACACTTGTTATTCCCATCAACTTTTTTTCTGCTTCTTTTTCGTCTCTTATCTGTGCTCCAGAGGATTCTATTATTCAAGAAGAAAAAAAAAAATGCACTACAGTAATTCAGAGCATGCACCTGATTCGATGGGAAAGGACAGATATCCAGCAGAAGAAAACCAGATGTGAATGGAAATACTAAAGATTTTTTTTTCTTTCTGCATAGGACAATACAAGAGACAGGATACAGCATTTGTTCACAGAAGGAGGGAGTTATTTTTTTTCTGGATCTCTGCATCAAACTAGCTGTCTGTGCCAGGTCATCTGGACCTTAAAAACAGTCCTTGAATTTAAATATGAACTGCAGACAGGAGAGCACTTAGACAAGGTCTGGATATTGCAGAGAAGAGAATAGGATTGGCACTGCCTGGCATCTATGTATGTGCATGGCAGAGAAGAACTCTTGGATGTAAGGAGTGTGTTGGATGTATTGGTGCAGTTGTAGCAGCAGAGGATGGCTATGAGGAATAGAGTGAGGTGCAGAGAGGACACAGTGATGGGATGCTGTAGACACATCTTACCTCTGCACTCTCTGCTGGTGCTGATGCTGCTTTGTATGGACTGCTGGTGCAGAGCTCAGGTGTACAACCTCAGCCTGGCTGTGGATGAGGGTCTGCCACCTGGTACCCTAGTAGGTGACATTCGTGCAGGACTGCCAGAGGGGAGCCCAGGTGAAGGTTTCTTCTTATCAGAGGAAAGTGGTGAGTCCCCAGTGCTCAGGGACTTTCAAATAGACACAGACACTGGGATTGTAAGGACCCTCCGAATTCTGGACCGAGAAAGAAGAGAAAGGTACAGTTTTGTGGCTGCCACATTGCTGGGGGAGGTGGTGCAGGTAGATATCAGAGTACGTGATGTCAATGATCACTCTCCCACCTTTCCTGTACAATCACTTCGTTTACAAGTATCTGAGCTAACTCCACCTGGAACTACTTTCAGATTACCTGCAGCTTGGGATCCAGATAAGGGAGAGAATGGGTTAAGAGGCTACTCACTACTTAGGGGTAGTCAGGAAACTGCCTTCATCATCAGGTATGGGGATATCAGGTCCAATGCAGGGGCTGCAGGGAAGGACTGGGGTCAGGTAGCAGAAACAGGTAAGGGGGGAAGGGGGATTTCTTAGACCAAAAGCAGCTCTTCAGGTTTGGAAGCAAAAAGATCAATCTAGCCAGGGACATGTACAGGACAAATCAGCAGAGTTTAGGACCACCAGTAAAGGATTAGTGCCAGACAGTGAGGGGTCATGGATAGGAGGTGGTGAATTGCTTTCATTTTTTAGCAGTAAGGAAGAAAATAGGGGCTCACATTCAGAGGGAGGACAGCAGTGGGAGTCGAATATTGAGGATGCAGAAGATGGGTTTAAAGGGGAAGAGGTATTTTCTGAACATTTAAAGTCACCTGGGCATGATACACATCCTGGGGACTATATGTATGAAATATACCCTGATACAAGGGGGAATACTGACAGTTCTGATTCACAGGAAGAAGTAGAGGTAGAAGGGGAATCTACTGATTCTCGCCTCAACCCCCTGGATCTAGTGTTAGTACATTGGCTTGACAGAGAAGAAGTGGATAAGTATCAGCTAGAGGTTGAAGCTTTTGATGGTGGTCATCCACGTAGAGCCGGACGACTTTTGGTAGACATAACTGTTTTAGATGCAAACGATAATCCACCAAATTTTGACCAGCCTGAATATAAGGGTTGGGTGTGGGAAAATGCCCCTGCAGGTACCTCAGTTTGCACTGTTCATGCAGTGGACCCTGATTTAGGTAGCAATGGGGAAGTTATTTATAGCTTGTGGTCTGGTGAGGAATATTTCAGTGTTGAAGAAAGTACTGGAATTGTAAGGGTCAGTCACCCCCTGGACAGAGAACAAAAAGCTCTTCATCAGCTGATAGTCCAAGCCAAAGATGGTGGATCCCAACCTGAAGTTTCTAGTGTCCTTGTCATGGTAAATATCCTTGATGTTAATGATAACAAACCCAGCATACAAGTCACCCTACTCACTGAAAGTGGGCAACCAGAAGTATCAGAAGGAGCACGAATAGGAGAGTACTTAGCAAGAATTTCTGTTTCTGACCCTGATTTAGAGTTTGAGGAAGAACCCTGGAAAACCAATATTGATAAGGACAGTGAACATCACACAGGAACGTTTCAAGATAGTAGAGAAAATGTTGGTGTGGTAGGACATTCACTAGCCAAAATACCACCGGTAGTAAATATTGCACAAACCACAAATCCTTTGAATGTCGCCAAAGAAAGACAACATTTTAATCCTGGAAGTACTGGAGCACCTCAGCAAGTGTCACTGACTTTGGAAGGTGCTGATGGTGCATTTTCTCTTCATCCTGTTGGGCCACAAGTCTATTTTCTGTGTGTTGATGCTCTTCTTGATCGCGAACAAAAAGATCTATATGAACTGCGCTTTCTTGCTAGTGATTCAGGCTCCCCTCCTTTACAGACTCTTAAAACAGTACTTTTTAGCATTACTGACTTAAATGACCAACCTCCAGTTTTTAACCAACCTGATGGATATCAAGTGATGGTTTCAGAATCTGCTTCTCCTGGCACTGCTGTCCTCACTATTAATGCCCAGGACTTAGATGAGGAGGGCCCAAATGCCAGGATAACTTATACTCTGCTAAGCAGTACATTTTCTACTGCTTTTAAACTAGACCCACATACAGGGGTTCTGAGCATTACAAAATCATTGGATTATGAAACAGAGACTGTAATGGATCTGGTGGTTGTGGCTACTGACCAGGGTGACCCTCCACTATCATCTAGTTGTCAAGTGACCATAATGGTTGAGGATACCAATGACAATGAACCAGTCTTCTTACAACAGTTCTACAATGTAACCTTGCAGGAACATTCAGCGTTGGGGCATTGTTTTCTTCAGGTAAGATTTAACAGTCTTTTAATGGGATATATTTCAACCATTTGATTTATGTTTATTATAAAACTGGTTAGAAACCTCTTTCTGATGACAGGTGAACCCTGCAGGAATCAGTTTCTAAATCCACAATCTCCATGCAGTACACATCCTCACTGATAACAGCTTTTTATTCCTTGTTTCAAACAGGGATCTGTTTGTTGAGGCCCATAAAAAATTCCTTCTGATTTTACATATTGTCTTATTTTGCTGTAATTTTTTCTCCAATGTCTTAAATAATAATATGCACAGTAACATCAAAGTGCAGTGAAAAAAAATTGTAAAAAGTATAATGATTGGTCAAAGATTAACAACTAAACTTTTCTTAATTAAATAGTAGATTAAGGTGGTCCTATTAGAAGCTTAAGTCTGAACTTTGGTAATATGAAAAAAACTACCCTTGTAGTTGGGCTCCCTCTGCACTGCGAATATTAACTGCATGTTTTTTCTCAGAGTATCAGTAAAAAGTGCTTTTACTTATTTTATCTCTTGCTTCTTGGAAAAATGTGATAGCCTTTTGTCTCTAATGCTGGTGGACAGGTCCTTGGCATCCTCACTTACAATGCAGGACTGCTGGTCCTGCATTGTTTGTGATGATATCAGAGCTGGGCACCGATAAGAAGTGGCTGTGGGGGATAGGACGTATGAAAGATGGAATCCTATGTGTGCCAGGGATAAGGTACGTAGTAAATGTGCATTTTTATTGGATTCCTGGGAAAAAAATATTTAACACTTGAAGTACAAAGGTATTTGTTTCATTTCCCTGGTGTTCAACTTTAGCAAGTCTGCATTGCTAAATTCCATACGTCACAATATACTGTATAGCAACCAAGGGCGGACTGACCATTCGAGCATTCGGGCACTGCCCGAGGGCTGGGGTCAGTAGGGGGCCCATGAGATGCCCCTGGTACCTTTCATTAGCTTTTTCATAGGCTTTTTTGGGTGTGGGCGAGGACACGGGGGCCCCATAATCCCCTATTGCCCGGGGGCCCCATGAGTTGTTAGTCCGCCCCTGATAGCAACAATATGATAAGCTTGTAAAGCATTGCACCAGCGATCTGCCATGCAGGTTCCCTGCAGACCTGTCAGTATATCTGCTTGCCTGTACAGGGTGTATGAGCAAGCAGATATACTGACAGGAAGAATAAATGATCTACCATGGCACTTCACAGTGCTGTGATAGTTCATTGAAAACTACAAGCTGTCAGCCACAAAGGCTGTTGGGATTTGTAGTTCATTCATTCATTTATTCATTCATTCACAGAACACTGTTTTTTTTTTTTTAAATTGTGACAGGTATCAAGAAGGAGAAGATCCCCCACTAGCTGTCACAATGAAGAGTGGGGAGAAGTGGGAACGGTCTATTCATAACATGTTTAGCCTGAATATGGGTGTAACATGTAACATATTATGAAAGGTGAACTTATACTTTAACCGCCTCCTGCTCTCCATATAAGGATGGGTGGCGGTTCTCTCATTCCAGGAGGACATCATATGACGTCCTCCCACTCTACCTGCGCATGCGCGCCCCCGGGGGGTGTGTGGTGCGGCGATCGGTGGTGCGGCAATCGGTGGTGTGCTGTGTCCCTGGGACACAGCGGATCACTGATCACAGTAAAAGAGCCAATGATGTCGGCTCCGTCACGTGATCAGCTGTGTCCAATCACAGCCGATTGCATGTAAACAAGGAAATGGCGGTTATCAGCAGTCCTCTCCTCACGCTGACAGCACGTGAGGAGTGCCGGTAATTGTCATTCCTCTGAAGGGACATCTACACTGATCATCAGGGCACTGATGATCAGTGTAGCCCCATCAGTGCCACCTGTCATGCTCATCAATGCCACATACCAGTGCCTATCAGTGCACATCAATGCCACATATCAGTGCCTACCAGTGCCCATTAATGCCACATCAGTGCCCATCACAGCTGCCTTTCAGTACCCACTATCAGTGCCAGTCAGTGCCACCTATCAGTGCCAGACAGTGATGCCTATCAGTACTACCTATCAGTGCCAGTCAGTGCCGCCTATCAGTGCTAGTCAGTGCCACCTATCAGTGCCCGTCAGTGCCGCCTAACAGTTCCAATCAGTGCTGCCTAACAGTTCCAATCAGTGCTGAATATCAGTGCCAGTCAATGCTGCCTATCAGTGCCCATCAGTGCCACCTATCAGTGCCATATATGAGTGCTGCCTTTCAGTGCCCATCACTGATGCCTGTCAATGCTGACAAGTGATGCCTGTCAATGCCCATCAGTGCCACCTACCAGTACCTCCTCTTCAGTGCCGCCTATCAGTGCTCATCAGTGCGGCCTCTTTAGCGCACATCAGTGAAGGAGAAAAAATTACTTATTTACAAAATTGTATAACAGAAACTAAGAAAAAACTTTTTTTTCATAATTTTAAGTCTTTTTTAGTTAGTTTAGCAAAAAAAAAAAAACAGTGGTGATTAAATACCACCAAAAGAAAGCTCTATCTGTCTCAAAAAAATTATAATAATTTTTTTGGGTACGGTGTTGCATGACCGCGCAATTGTCTTTCAAAGTGCGACAGCGCTGAAAGATGAAAATTGGCCTGGAGAGGAAGGGGTAAAAGTGCCCGGTAAGCAAGTGGTTAAAGCTGAACTCCAGGAATGATCTATATTTGCATAATCATCTTGTTGGTGCAATGTACGTGTGCATATCTCATACTAGATAAGCAGCTTGTGAAGCTGAAAATTGCTGTAGTATTCTGCGCTGCTACAGTGATAGCAGTGATGGGTTCTGCATGGTCAGCTTCCCCTCTGCTTGCCTGCTCGGCACTGCCGCCATCTATAGACTGTCTTGTCATTTTTTCAATGAATACAAGATGTTTCCCGATTGGATAAGGTGAATATCGTGATGTCACTACCCACCATGCCCATTGCCCTCCTTGTCCAATCCAAGAATGTCTTGTGTTTATTGGAAAAAAACACAGGACATATAATAATGGCAGCTATCACAGTGATTTTCAGTTTCTCCAGCAACCCATAAGGTATGAGGTATATATACTCACATTGTGCCAAGCTGAATCAATGTAAGTAGGCAAAACAGATCATCCCTGTCACTCAGCTTTAAGCAATAATACTTAATCTCTAGTCTGGACATTCCCATACACTCACACCGCATATTAAAACATAACAGGTCACAGGGTGAGCAGCAGCACACGGTGGTTGATCTATGTGAGAAAAACTTTTTTTTCACAGCCCAAAATGGAAAGATTACGCTTTCACATTCGGATGTCAACACAGTTGGGGCAGCACATGGCTCTGGGAGTCAAGTACATGTGCATCTGGAATGGGAGAGGGTTGGTTACTTTAGGTTGGTGAGGGGATAGGCAGGAAGAATAAGTGTACCCTTTAAAGGCTACTGAACAGGCATTGAAATTTACACAACTGCATCATTTCATGGGCTTGACTTTTAGTCTAGGAAGTTATTGAGGGCTCAGAATGATGCCTGAACAAATATGGTGCAAATCTTCCTACTTGGAGAAAATGAAGATTAAAAGAAAAATAGGGGCAAAATGTCTGCAAGATGTGCACGCAAACAATATTTAGCATGTTAGCACTTACCATTAAGAAATTGTTGCCAAAAGTATTGGGACACCTTCCTTTACACACACATGAACTTTAATGGCAATCCAGTTCTAGTCCATAGCAGGGGTGGACTGACAACTCATGGGGCCCCCGGGCAATAGGGGATCATGGGGCCCCTGTGTCCTTGCCCAAACTCAAAAAAGCCTATGATAAAGGTACCAGGGTCATCTCATGGGGCCCCCTACTGACCCCGGGCCCTCGGGCAGTGCCCGAGTTTCCAAATGGTCAGTCTGCCCCTGGTCCATAGGGTTCAGTATTGAGTTGGCCCACCCTTTGCAGCTTAAACTCTTCTGGGAAGGCTGTCCACAAGCATTGGGAGTGTGTTTATGGGAATGTTTGACCATTCTTGTGAGATCAGGCACTGATGTTGGACGAGAAGGCCTGGCTCGCAGTCTCCACTCTAATAAGCCCAAAGGTGTTCTATCGGGTTGAGATCAGGACTCTGTGGGGCAATCAAGTTCCTCCACCCCAAACTTGCTCATCCATGTCTTTATGGACCTTGCTTTGTGCACTGGTGCGCTGTCATGTTGGAACAGAAAGGGGTCATCCCCAAACTGTTCCCAAAAAGTTGGGAGCATGAAATTGTACAAAATGTTTTGGTATGCTGACGCCTTAAGAGTTCCCTTCACTGGAACTTCACTGGAACTGAGGGGCTAAGCCCAACCCCTGAAGCACCACCCCACACCATAATCCCCCCCTCCAGCAATATTTACACTTGGTACATAGCAGTCAGGCAAGTACTGTTTTCCTGGCAACCGCCAAACCCAAACACGTCCATCGGATTGTCAGACAGAGAAGCGTGATTTGTCACTCCAGAGAACATGTCTCCACTGCTCTAGAGTTCAGTGGCTGCATGCTTTACACCACTTCATCTGATGCTTTGCATTGCACTTCCTGATGTCAGGCTTGGATGCAGCTGCTCGGCCATGGAAACCCATTCCATGATGCTCTCTACACACTGTTGTGCTAATCTGAAGGCCACACAAAGTTTGGAGGTCTTTAGTTACTGACTCTGCAGACAGTTGGCAACTTCTGCACACTGTGCGCTTCAACATGCACTGACCCCGCTCTGTCATTTTATGTAGCCTACCACTTTGTGGCTGGGTTGCTGTTTTTCCCAGTTGCTTTCACTTTGTTATAATACTACTAACAGTTGACCGTGGCATGGAATATTTAGTAGCAAGCAAATTTCATGGATGGACTTGCTCTTTCAAAAATGTTTGTAGAAGCAGTCTGCATGCCTAGGTGCTCGATTTTATACACCTGGGGTCAAGGAGGTAATTGGAACACCGGAATCCAATGATTCGGAGGGGTGTCCTAATACGTTTGGCAATATAGTATGTGTCTGAAGCTACTGTAGGTGCCTCTATCTCTATTTTCAGTGGAAAGATATCTTCAAATATATTAGATGGATTTGTTTTCTAATGAACTGAACCAACATGCTCTGCAGTGAGACCGAAAACTTTCAGCCAATCACATCAGTTCCTGCCCCCAAAGCATTTTAATTTCCAATCTAATTTCCCTACAACAGTCATATAGGCAAAAACACATATAGTTGAATCTGAGTAGTCTGTCAATGTGTTTTTGGAGTTTGAGGGAAGAAATGCACATGATATGGAAACTTACATTCACATTAAGCCTGTTTAAGAGTGAAATCCACAACATCACTATAAAGGGCTAGGGGGTCTCAAGACATCGGGCAAATTTCTAATGTAGGTATGCTTCCCATATAGTACCGGATCATCCCAGATTTCATAGTAAAATTCAATACAGGATGCAGTTTGTCCAGTATTTAATGGCACCACACAGCATCATGTGTTTCCATGGTGCAGGCAGGCCAGCTGTCAGCACCATAACAACCAATGATGCCATGGGACAGACCTGCTCTGCCTCCTGTCTCTACCATGCTGCTGCAGCAGCGCAGTGGTGGAGATTGTCAAGACCTCTGATGTGAAGAGGGGACTGAGGGGGGGATAAAGATTTTGATGTTAAAGGTGAAATGAGGGTTCTGATATGAAGGGGGGAATTCCCCTACCACACCAAGGAGAGGATAAACTCATCATCCAGTGTAGATATCAGTGTCCTTCAGCCCATTAAGGGCTTGCACACACAGGCAAACTAGGTAGCTGCCTAGGGCGCAGCCATGACCAGGGACGCCAATAGTACAGCCAGACCTGCTGTAACATTAATTATATTTTTCCTGGGCCTCATCAGTTCACCAGAGGGACCAAGATGCAAGGAGCAGAGTTAGACTCTTTTTTTTTAATTTCAGGTTCAAGCGGCTAAATCCGTGCTGCGTTTTGCAATTATGATTACTGGCAGCCAGCCATGGCTGCTCACAGCCTATACCTTCCGGAGTGATTATCCCTTCCTCCACTGCGGAGGGCAGAATGTGAGACTGTAGCCTGGCGGCGGGAGGTGATTTAACAGAGAGGTGGCTGAGGGCACAGGCAGCAATGGGAACCAGTGCATGGGCAAGCTTGCGATTTCTGTTTACTGTGGCACAGACAGAGATACAGCCATATGCTGTATACAGACAGACATACAGCACCATCTGTACTGTGTGATCATCATCACAATAATGATGATGATCACATAAGTACAGTGAGATGCTCCCTGTTGGTTCGTATTTACACTTGTGTTTGAGAGCATTAAAAATTTGGTGCTGAGCCTCACTTGTATTGTCCCACAACCACCACCATTAGGCTGCAAAGGCACTGCCACAGCGGAATGGCAATAGTGGAGGGGTCTTGTGTAGACCCCCCCCCCTCCGCTGCCATAATACGGTGGCAGTGCCTTTGCAGCATAATGGGGAGTGGTTGGAGGATGGTAAAAGTTTGGCTTAGCCACATATTTTTAATGTCCCTGAAACACAAGTGTAAATAAGCACTAACAGGAAGCATCTCATTGAGTGTGTGTAAATATGACAGGCTGACTGTCAGGTGGAAATGATCCAATAGCTGTGCAGCCTCCAGAACTCTTCCGCCCACCCCCATGTGCCCTGCCATGTTTCCCAGGCTCTGTGCTCCTATCTGGGAACTGCATGGTGGTTGCCACCGGTAGAAGAGAGACAGATTAGCAAACACCTGTTCGCTGATCTCCCCTTCCTGTTAATGACCCGGAAGCAATGTGTTAAACATCACTTCTCGGTTCTGTTGTCACTCTCTCCAGACAGGATTGGATGATGTTAGCTAGAGACTAAGCTGTCTGCTCCAAACTTCATCCAATCCGCGAATGGTGCAATAAATTACTCCTGGTCTTAATAATTGGTAGAATTAAATTTTTTAACATATCAGGGTCATCCACATGGACATTTTACTGATTGAAGGGTCCATGCTGTCCTTTTGTATAGTATTTTCTTGCAAGCTGTGCACAGTAGTGGATCCTAAGTTTGCCACTGAAATGAATTACCAAATCCCATTCTTTTACTATATATTTATCTGTTAATGTAACTGCTTGGAATCTGATTGATTTTATATAATAGATTTACAATCTAAAGAAGCAGAAGTGTTCAGATTTATTGTGGGAACCTAATTG